TGGAAGCTTGAAATATGATTACTGAATTTTACTTCAAGAATAATACACACACACACACACATACTTCTAGGCTTTATCTCTGGATTGCATCCCTTTATTTCTTTCCCTAGTTTTATGTGAATGTAATGCAATGTTAACAAAGGCATTTCTTGTGTGCACATATACACTTATTTAATATATGCACTATCTGAATTAAGTATACCATACTTTAAACTTAATAAATTTAATTTATTATTATTATTACTAGTAGTAGTAGTAGTAGTAGTAGTACTAGTAGTAGTAGTAATGCTGGTGGTGGTGGTGTATATTTTTGCAGTGCTGGGGATTGGACCCAGGGCCTTACACATGGTAGGTAAAGCTCTGCTACTTAGCTACAGCCCAGGAAGTTTAAATATACTTCTAAATGGATAAATTAGGGGAGTATTAGATGGGATATCTGATTTGGAAACCAATATTAGTGGAATATTTTTTGTAATGCATTATTTTTATGTTAAAACAGGTTCACTACATAGCTCGTAACTTGTACATAGTCTTATTCTTTCAATAAACAGTTGTGGAGTGACTATCATGTTCTAGGTGCTGGGGCTTTACAGTATGTACAAAGAGACAAAGTGTCTTCCTCAGGGAGTTTGCATTCTAGTGTGGATTGTGACAGTAAAAACAAAAATATGCCATTTATATGTACACGCAGATAAACTGTATTAGTAAGAGCTTGTGGAGAAAAATAAAGCTGGGAAGGTAAAAAAAAAACATTCTGGAAACTGCCATGAGAGACAATTTCTTTGGCTTAGGAACTGTTTGCATGTTTGCCATTGCTAGAATGACAATCTATATAACATACAGGGCAAAATAACACCAATACTTTCAGCTACTTCACTTTTATTTCTTCAAAGAACGTTGAGGTCCAACCATCCACTGGTAAGACAAGTTTCATACTGTCAAAAAAGTTTTTAAAAAAATCCAACTCTAATTTAAAAAGAGCAGAATAAAAATGGCTTTTATAATAAAACTTTTTAATTAAAAAAAACTTTTTAAAAATAAAACTGGGTAGTAAGGACATTTTCCAATTCCTTATGCTTTCTATTATTGAGGTGGCAAATGTATTAAAGCATCCTTGCCTCTTTGAAGACTGTTCCTCAAATCTACTTGTGATTTTAATGCTATTTTAATAAGAATATAATTCCCTACATTCCTTTTCTTTACTCTCCTTTGAAACCTTTTTTGATATAGTGAAAAATTCTGCACCTATATGAATGTCCATCTTAATGAGTGTTATAAAATGAACATCTATGTTACCACCATCAAGGTCAGGAAATACAATCTTTTTTAAAAAAAATTTCATTTTTTAGTTGTACACAATGCCTTTATTTTATTTATTTTTACGTGGTGCTGAGGATAGAACCCAGGGCCTCACACTGCTAGGTGACTGCTGTACCACTGAGCCACAACTCCAGCCCAGGAAATACCATCTTTTGAAAGTACCCTTTCCTGTGGTCCTCACCTTACCTGCCACAATCCTAATTTTACGGAAATCCCTACTTGGCTTTTTTCTTCCCATAGTTTTTTCCACTGAGTATGATCTATAAACATAGTACAGTTTGATTTAGCCTGCCTTTAATTTTCTATAAAAATAATCAGAATATATTTTTTCTGAGTTTTAATTATTGCTCAATATTCAATTTTCAAGATACCTCCATGTTGTTACACATTTCAATCTTCGTTCTTCGTTGCTGTATTTCATTCCTTTTCACTACTACATTGTATGCCTGTGTATGGAATATGACAATTCAATGAACCATTCTGTTATTAATGAATGCTTCAATTTTCTTCAGTTTGGATGCATATCCTAAGACACACTTCTTCAGACTAAATGCCTGAAAGTGAAATTGCTGGATCCTAAAGTATACATATCCCAGTTAAGGCCAAACTATTTTCCAAAGCGGTTGTGCCAGTTCATATTTCCCCCAGCAATAAATGGGGGTTCTGTGTCTTATGCCGTCCTTAATTAACACCTGGCACTCAAACTTTTTAACTTATGTCTGTCTGGTGAGTTCTGTCTCCGGTATAATTTTAAATTTGCCTCTTCAGATTATTAATGAATTAAGCACCCTTTCCAATAAACAGCAGGTATTTATTGGTTGTCTCTTTCTCTTTCTCTCTTCCTCTTCCTCTTCTTCTTCTTTTCTTTAAATATCCATTGCAGTCACTGACTCCTTCATTAATGGGGGTACTTTTCTTCCCGTTTGGTCGGAGTTCTTCGGGTGTCCCCACAGTTTCATTTGCAACACAGCCTCCTTTCCTTTGCCCTGCAGTATGGGAAGGTCAGGGTGGCGGGACCGCAGCTCCGCAGCCCGCAGCCCAGGTCAAGGCCGTTTGCAGCCGCCCCCGCCCGGGGCAGGGCGGCAGCTGCGTTCGGGAGCGCGCGGCGCGGGCGGGCTGTGTTGGCCGCGGTCTCCAGGCAGCGCGGCGGGCGGGGGCCCGGAGCCCCGCGGGAGCCGCCGGCGGCGGCGCGGAGGATGCGGGGCGCCGAGGTCGCGGCCACCGAGGAGTGCCTGGCCGGCGACGGGCGGCTGCCTCCTGGAGCGAGGTGGGCGGCGCGCCGGGGAGGGGAGTGACAGGCTGGTGGGGGAGGGCTGCAGGAAGGCACCGGAGCGACCTGGGTGCGGGCGGGGGAACCCAGGCCGGCGCGAGGAGCATCGGGGCCTGGGGACTAGGAGCCAAAGGCCAGGGGGTCACTACACGGAGAGGCTCCCCGCAGCCTGTCCTCGGCCAGTGGAGGCCGGCCAGGGCACCTGACCTTCAAACGCCCCTGTGGCGTTTTTGGTCGTGTTCCCCAGAAACGGACAAAGGGAGAAAACCCAAACTTCCCTTCTGGGCTGCTTCCAGGCCTGCCCCAGACTGGGGCAACTTTTTCTTTGTCATTCATCTGTAGAAGGAAATTAATGTGTCCCAGAACTAGTGGACTACACCCAGGCCGTGAAGGAACCTTTGGACAGCTGGCATTTCTTAGTCCCCCTATTTCTGGTTTACTTAGAGGAATTTTGACTGGCCAGTCAGCCTCTCTTGGTCAGAAATTTTAGTGGCACAACATTTTTCACTTCGTGGTATTAGAGAGCCACATTCAATTAAATGTCAAACGCCCACTTATTGATTTGTTCAAGTTGTGAGCTTTTCCTTTTGTATAATCCCGTGCTTTTGTAAGATCAGATGTCCAAACCACCCAGCTTTTGTTAGTTTATTACTGTTAATGACAAGAAACCCTGGCCTCTCACTTAAGAATAGAAAGAACTGAATTATTTTATGAAAGCACAATTTAAAATTGAACTATAATGATTATTTTAAGCTTTAAAATTGAACTATAATGATTATTTTAAGCTTGTTCTTTGAGGTCCCAATACTGTGATCTTAACTCCTACAATAAAAACAATGTTATTAAAACAAACTTTTAAATACATTAGTATCTGCTGGATTTGCTGCTTTTTACAAACACCCTATAAAGCAACGATCTGCTTATCATTATTAAAATAATATGGCAGAATTAACTATATATTTTTAAAGTAAGAGACTATATAGCAAACTAGTTTGTACAATTAGGCAATGATGTTAGTCTACCAACAGGGGGAACTTTGAGTTAAATAGAAAATCACTTCACGCGTATTTAAATATGAACATTATCTTTTGTCTGTTATGTTTGTTAAGACACTTTCCTCCAAGGAGTTGCTGTTCCATGGAAGCCTTAGCAACAAAGTCAACATAATAAGTAACCCTAGAATAGGAATAAGGTGGATAAGGTTATGTTATTTAATTAAAATTAGGATTTTCCAGAAGAACATAAGCAAGCCAATAAAATAAATTTTACAGTAATCTCTAGTGGTGAAGATTTTTATTATATGACTTACAGGAAAAAAATGGCATAAAGGCAGTAAGATACAAGATCAACCAAAATAGAAATGCTAGATAAAGATGAAAGGACGCACAATCCAAAAACATCATCTCCTTTCAGTCCTATATGAACTCAAAGCACCCTTTCCATAAACCATCTCATGGGTCACATAAGAGCCCTTTGAGACAGTGAGGGTTCACTTGGAATCACACTCTAGGCAAGCTGGATGGGACTCCAACTAATTCCTAGCAGTCATTCAGTTCAGTCTCCCACCCACCCAACTGTCATCCCCAGGATAGCATCCCTTTCATATCGGTGACTTCCAGCCTCTGCTTGTTGGCTCAGTGGAAGGATCAGCAAGGTTCCCAAATATTTTGTTGAATAGTTTTTATTATTATTATTATTATTATTATTATTATATTGTTTAATACTGAGCTGAGTTTGATTTCCTTATAAGCGCCTAAATTATATATTTCTCTCTAGTGGCAGCCAGGATATCAAATGGTCTTTTCCAAATGATGTAGCTGGCCAAAATAGATCTAGGAACAAAACCACCTCCAACTATGGAAACCATACTTTTCTTTCTCTTTTCTGTATTTTCCGAAAGGTAGACTCTGAACCTGTTTTACTCTACCCATGAATACTGCTGAACAGGATAAGTTGTTGCCTGGGCCATTTGAAAGAAGGTACTGTCCATAATGAAATAAAGTACCATCAAGGTACTGTCCATAATTAACTATTGGCTTTCCGCTGGCTTGTCTGTAGCAAGCCCTTGGAAGCTGGAAAAGGGAATCTGCTTTTAAGCAACCATTTGATTTCCTCAGTGAAACAGCATTTGATTACTTGGGCTGTTTATGAGCTCTAAATCAGATGTTTGTGTAAGAGAGGAAACACAATTGTTTTTCCAATAGCTATTGCTACATACAAAAGCCTGCAGATAATATAACAAGGTTCTCTTACTTGTTGAAATTTTTTATAAATATTGACATTAAGGAGTTTTCAGTAGTCATAGAGTAACATAAATATAAATTTTTTAGGTAACGATTTTGCAAACCAGAACTTACCAGCCAACTGTTCCTATCAAGACTATCTCCTGTTGATTTCTGAATTTTTCAAAATGAGTAAGAGTAAACTAATTCCCAAGCTTTCCGTTCAATCTCCTGTCCGTCATACCAACTTAAATGTCCAGTCCTCAAACGCACTCCGTAAGAAAGAAGACTTAAATCTGATTTCAGAAGACTCCTTGGAATCAGATTCAGAAAGCCTCACTCAAGAGTTCGAGTCCCAGTCTGAACTTGAGGACCAAATCCAGGATGTAGATGTGGAGCCTGACAGCCTAGAGGGCAGTCCTCAGAGGGAAAGCTTGAGTGAAACAGAAGAGGAAGCAAGCAGAAAAGTAGCTCAGATGGCCATCCAAGGAGACCTCCCGGTCCAGGATAATGACGTGAATAACAGGTAAGGAGTTGGCTTGTATATAGTCATAAATAATCCTGTATCAGTAAGGACAGGCTCACCTGGCACACACCTTGTAATGTATGTGAGACAGGTCTCTAAGCAGCTAAGGACAGCATGGCTGCTTGGTTTTTGTCACATTGATTTCTTTTTTAAATTAAAACAATGGGTATTTTAAAAGGGCATTTGCATTTCTTATATTCCTTATTTTTTATCCATATTCCAAGTGTCTCCATTGCTATGACCTCACCTTAGAGAAATCCTGGTATTAAAAAAAGTATGTATGTGAAGTCTAATTGTCTTAATTTGGTCTAAGTGTGCTGTTTAGTGTCACATTTGAAGTAAGCTTACTTAATTTCTACAAACCACTTGTTCTCATCTGTTATTTGATCTAGACTGCTTGTCTCACAGGATTGCTATGAATGTCAATAAAATACAAATAATTGGTGGTAGAATCCTATCTGGCCCCTTTTTTCATAGCTAATAGAGGCTGATCTCCTGGGGTCTAAATGATCACATACAGATTTCATCTAATAATCATCACTTATGGGATTTAACTATATGCTATGAGCTACTAAAAAAACGTAAGGGAATAAAAATAATCCATTTTAATGAAGCTGTAAATTACATGATTACAGCTTCATTACAGAAGAAGTTATTAAGAAGGGAGTTTTACCCATTTGATTCAAATGTATGATATGTCAAGATCATTGTATTGTCATGTGCAACTAATAAAAAAAATGAAAAAAAATAAGGAGTTTTAGTGTGGTGGACAAGTTCATAGAATATAAAGCAGACCACTTAGGTTCAAATACTGGTTCTGCCACTTACTTATACAGTGTTAGTCAAGTCCATTTAATGCTTTTGTGTCTCAGTTTCCTCATCAGTAAAAAGGGCATAATAACAATAGTTGCAGAGTTATGAAGCTAAAATAATATATGCAAAGTGTTTAGAACAGTGACTAGCTCTTGTAAATCATATTACATTGATTTTTAAAAAATTTTTTTAGTTGTCAATGGACCTTTATTTTAAATATGTGGTGCTGAGAATTGAACCCAGTGCCTCACACATGCTAGGCAAGCACTCTACCACTGAGCCACAACTCCTGGCCTATATTGATTTTGTTTTTAAATGAGGTGTCAAATATGTTAAGTAAAGTTGATTAAAAGGCCTAGAACTTGGGCATCATTTTGAAATCAAGATTTGGATAGAAGGTCACAATTAGAATGACATGTTTGTGGCACATTAGGGAGTCTATGGGGGTTACACCTAATTTGCATGGGAAAATTGTTTGAGTAGGAATCTGAAAATAGGGGCTTTTAAAAGCACCTCTAACTGCAGGACAAATTTACAGGTCATTGAGTATAACTCCTCCACACCAGAGAACTCAAAGGATTTGTCCTAGGGATACAGTCATGGTAAGGACTCCAGTGGGAGCCAAAATTGGATCCCAGTCCTAAGTCATTTTCTTCCTTTTTTACTTCCCCTCCTCTTCCTTTTACTGGGGATATCAAGTTAAATGAATCTCATATGCATCTTAGGGGATCTCCAGATACACAGTAAGGGAAAAATGATGCCACAGAGGTGTTCCAGGATGATTTTGGTGAGACAGAATGCTTGATTGGGACTGGATTGGGTCAGCCAGGAGAAAAGAGGACAGGTTCTTAGGGAGGGCAGTGAGATGAAGCAGTGGTCAAGGCAGTTATTCTACATGCTGGTGCATTTTAAATTAAAGAATAAAGACTCAATGGGCAGAGAGACTATCAGAGGGTAATGAGACTGTCACAATAATGATGCCACCTTTTGAAGGCCCATCTGTAGTTTCACTCAGCTCTTCACTGTGACCTTGCAGGGAAGGTGCTGAGAGCGTCATTTTCCAGAGAGGAAAAGTGAGGCCAACGGAGATGAAATAGCTGGTCTAAGGGCATAGTGCTCTAATGGAGGACTTGTTTTGTTACTAATATCAATTTTTGTAATTATGAGAAACTTCTAGCCTACAGAAAAGTACAGGGGAAAAGATGACATAACCCTGATTGCCATATTTGTTTAAATTCTTCAAGTCATAAAACATTACAGATAGAGTTTCCTTTACCCCTTCTCAAATACATTCCCCTATCTTCCTCCTCAGAGATAACCCAACATGCATTTATGTGGGTTTGCACTGTTCTTTCAATCTTCTATTCATTTCTTTCATAGACAATCTATAATCAGTAGATATATTTGTATTGTATTGTATTTTTCTCCCTGTTTGTTCAGTCAGCATCATTGTCTTAACAGTTTATCATTATCTTTTTTAGCTGAGGACTGTGGTCATTCATTTTGAAACTTCTGAATAAGTTTTGCTGTGTGAACATACAACTGACCCTTACCCATTGAAGAGAATTTAGGTTGTTTTCATTTTTCTTATTTAACATAATATTCTGTACACATCCTTGTGTCTCTTTGGGTAGATGTGCAAGAATTTCCTCACAGTATCTGCAAGTCTTCAGTCCTCACGGTTACCTAGTCTTTCTAACTTTTGCCACTCTGACAGGTTATAAAATTCTTTTTATAGATTTCAGCTACTTTTCCTGATGACTTGTCAGCATGTTTTTATCCAAAAGAGATCAATTCAGACACTCTTTGGCATCGGTTTATTTCATTCCACTAAATGTTATAAGTATTGAGTATTTTCCTACATTTGTAGATGTGATTTATTTTTTCATGCTACTCAGTATTTCAGTATCTAGAGGTGCCATGGTATAATTATCTGATCACACATGGGACATGGGATGTTCTCAGGTTTTGTTTTGTTTTGTTTGTACCAGGGATTGAACGCAGGGGCACCAACCACTGAGCCACATCCCCAACCCTATTTTATATTTTATTTAGAGACAGGGTCTCATTGAGGGTGCTAAGCGCTTTGCCATTGCTGAGGCTGGCTCTCAAGTATCTCAGTCTCCCAAGCCGCTGGGATTACAGGTGTGTGCCACCGTGCCCAGCTCAGGGTTTTGTTTTTTTTTTTTTTTTTAACAATATTTTAATTGAAAGGTATATGAAATAATTGATAGAGCTTGGTACAGCTTAGATATGGATATTAGGAACAAGAGAAGTCAAAGAGTAAATTTAATAACAATAGCTGGCATTTCAGAATGCTAAACATAAGCCCATCACTGTGCAAAACTCTTTACATGTATTACCTCATTTAAATCCTATGGCAGCCCTGATAGGTAGACACTGTAATGATCACACCTTGAGGTTGTAAATGAGTGTCAAGAAGTTATATTATACCCATTCATGTATTTAGTGAGCGCTGGAGCAGAAAGCTCAGGCATTCTCACTTGGTCCTAAGCCATGTTTTTATCATGGCTCTAAACTAAGACATTCAGAGTCTCTTAGATAGTAAATGGTATAGTTTTATTTACAGAAATGAGGGCATCAGAAAGGAAAAATCTTTTGCCTTGTACAAAGTGTCCTTGTCTGTACTTTTAAGATAAAAAACAAACAAACAAACAAAAAGGCAAGAATCCATTAAGTGACCTTCTTCTCTCCCAATTTTTCAGTTTTTCCTCCTTTTTTCTGATGCTGAGGGACCTGACTTTAACCCTGTTTTCTTTTTTTTTAACCAAAAGGCAATTTAAAAACTACTTAATATATTTTAAGTAATAAAGAATAATGCTTACAAAAAAATCAAAATTATGGTTAGATTTTTAGTATTTTGATTCAGAGTTCCTTAAACAAAATGCTGTTTTGCTCAGATTGGCTTGCCTTGGAAATGGTGAGTGATAGACTATAACCTTGGGGCATAATTAGAAATGGGTTATAACTCTGTAATTGTCAGAACATAGTTCATTCATTGAACATATGAGGACCAGTTTCACAATGTAAAGGAAAACAGACCTGAGGCAGTTGAATAAATAATACTTCAAAAATGTTACTCAGGGACAGTTTAGTTATTGATTCCTCTCTCTGCCTCACATTAGTCTTAGAAATCCTTCCTAAATGTATTTTTGCTCATATTTGAGTTCAGAACATACACAATTTGAAATTCAAATAGAGTTCATTTCTATAAGGTAGGTGGCATTCTGGGAATTGTAGTTCAAAAAATTAGTCAAAGCCTTGCCTTAAACCAAAGCAAATCTCTTTTTTCTTCTTGCTTTTATAATGAATAATTTTAAAAGCTGCCTGGCAAATCACTTAGCCCTACCCTTGTGTTTTGATGTTACTAGAATCTTCTCAAAGCAATTACTCTCTTGTATCTCACCAATGTCAAGCATAGTTCAGTGTATATGGATTAGAGAAAACCTTTTACTTAATAGAAATTGGAGCAATATTGACTGTAGTGAATGAATCAAGAGTGGAGAGAGGATCTTCATGTGACAGTCCTTAAACCCCACTCCAAAACAAGCCTTATGACACTCAGCACTCATGAAGAAAGAGATCAGTGTAATGCCTAGAGCATTAGAAATAACCTCTTAAGTCAGGGAGCTTTCTGAAGTCTTATATTTTTAAAAAAAAATCAGAAAACAGCAAGTACCCAGTATATGTATAAAATAAAGTCTTGCTTACAGTAATACTTATATAATTACTACTATTTATGGAACTATTTAATTTGTATATACTATCTCATTATCTTTTAAAGATCCCCTTAGATAGGCTTTATTTATTTATTCATTTATTTGGTGCTGGGGATTGAACCCAGGGCCTTGTCATGTAAGGTGCATACTCTACCACTGAGTAACGCCCCTAGCCCGTAAGCATTATCTTTCTCGTTTTGCAGATAAGGCTCTAAGAGTTTTTTGTAGGTGTATATAGTTGCTAAGTGGCATAACTAGACATTGAATTAAACTCTCTCCTAACTCCAAAGCCTAAGCCTTTAATTATGAATATCTGACTAGATGATAATGGATTGAGCTGATGAAGGATTCTGCCTTAATATCTAGCAAAAATTAAAGAGAGAACAATTCCAGTACAGACTGAGGCCAGACTAAATATGCATGTAAATTATAAATGTTAGTAAAGTA